TCACACCACGTTTTCTGCATGAAGACAAATAACGATAGCAAGCATTTGCTGACGCTGTTTAGTTGTTACTACGAACTGTGTGACGAAACAATACGGTACAAGGGCGAACGCGTACCGAATACCGGAGTGGAGGTTTGTGTTTTGTCGCGGATGAAATGTCCGCTTTCTATTAGAGGTATTTAGTAAACTGTACCGGCATACTGTTTACGCAGTAGTAGTATGGACCTGTACGGGCTCTCATTTTGAAGGCCCACTCAGATCTAGGTGATCGTAGAAGGGATTTCGATAGATCTGATGCACTAGGTAAACAAATTGCACCTAGCGTTGAAGCTAACGGTACAGGCTGAAGTTAGGCAGGTTAGGTCATCGGAGGCTTGCGGCGAATTGGCAATATGTTAAACGGGGTCGAGTTGATTTTGTAACTACCGTACGAATGTTATGCTTCGTAAAAAGCCTCCAGTGAGCGAACATCGATATCTGCGATCATGTCTAACGCAAACTAGCTTTTTGCAGTGGGCTTTCAAACTACGCGGGTTCTTAGGAAAAAATTGTGGTTCACTCGTTTGGTCGACTACGCAACGATATTACAGTGCGAAAGGCATTTCGAAGAAGCTAGAACATCCTTACCGTCCTATATGACAATGGTGTATAGAACAGCAAAATACAAATAGTGTACGTGCCGCAATCTGCTGAAATGGCTTGGCGCGAGAGACGTAAAAGAATTGTCTTATTTAGTTAAGGAGCACGGATAGATTTCGTGTCTGACGCTCGTAGCTCGTGTCAAAAAGAGACGACGATTCATAACTGTCGACATAGTTCATGATTAGATATTACATCAACTAACGTTTTTTTTTTTTTTTGTTTTTACTGGTCTCAACTTTATACCTACGAATTGGTAGGGATGAGTAAGAATTTCGACTCGAACCTTATGATTAATCTGGTTGAAATGTCGTTACCTGTAGAGCACGAGCGCCTTACCATTATTTCGTGAATATAATCAATATTCATAGGTTACTTTACGACGTGTTACCTCATTGTTACTTCGGAAGAATTTGTCCTTGATTTTTTGCTGATGTCCTAGAAGGCCGAAACACTCCAAGACATATGCGTACTGCCGATTAAACTTGCATGCATGAAGATATTGGATATATATATATATATATAAGATAGTGGACGTCGGATACGCCCGATATCAGCCGGCACCATGATCAGACAAGAGCTTGTTATTGCCCTGGAGCAGCTCGCAGCTCTACGTAAGGTGTGCAGCCCGTTAACATAATTACAATACCTCTGCTGTACCGTTCGACAGCCAACAGGGTAGCTATCCTGATCGAATACAAATCGACTCTAAGAATCACTCCGACATGAGTGAGCATGTGGGCAGGTTGTTATGTATCTGCTTGTAAGTCCGACTTGGTTTTTATTTTGCGGACATTTTGAAATTAACGACTTTTTTCTCATAGCCATAGCGTCAGCGAAAAATATTGGTTTAGTTATCTCTTACTGCTGTCTGGCCCAGTGCCTTAGAACCTCGGCCCTAAGCAACATTTCTGGCCAGCCGTTTTAAATCAAACCTGCCGCGCGTCGGCTCAAGGTGTTCACCTTTAAATCAGCGAACATTTGCATCGAATATAATTACATATATATATATATGATAATACTGGAAGCACAGGGAGCAAATAATGGCATCGTTCATTGTGTATTATTATTATCATTAGCACTGTGAGATGAATGTATAAACGGGTTTGGTAGAGTATCTAATTGTATCGCATAACGTGCACTCGGCCTCTGGTAGCATACAATAGAAATGCAACAGGCTTGCAACGTCAGCGTTGCCAGCGGTAACTTCTGTGAAGAAACGAAGCTCAGCCATGAACAGAATACTAAAGATATCGGGCGCATAGTATATGGATAGAATGCGTGCTACCTGTCAGCCTTGCTCGGCTTTTGAGCGAGATCACCATCTTGGTTGAATAGATAATTAGTATATCTACGTTTCTCAGTGTCTCCATGTTCTGCGGTCCGATGTGTGCATCTAATGTTTCACTTTAAATTAGTCTGCTGTAGGACCACTCGGAAGACGAGTATGTTAGGCACAAGAGAAAGTATTGACTGGAAGCACCTGAATCATATCTAGCTGACATAATGATGTCCATTAAGGTCCTATCTAATTCGAGACCGTTGATTATATGAAAAGATATGAAACGAAATATCGCTATTCGATAGTACACAAACACATACATATCAAAACTATATAGCGCGAGAAGGTTGGGATGATTTCTGTCATTTTTTCCGACTTTCGCAGAAGCTCATATGCGATCGTTACTACGAGCGCAACAAATTAGGATTTAAATTTAAGAAAGGCTTGTTTTCGTCGTATGATTATGCGTACATGTAAATAAACACATCTTCTAGCATTATACTGCACGTATGGGAATATCTCTTGACAACTAGAACGTTCCTAACGTACATCAACTCAATCAAAAAATCATTCTTTACAATGAGACAAAATGTCTCGATCCCTTAACCCCGAAGAAGACTGCCAAAAAATATGGTAGTTTTACCAAAAGGCCGCAATATTACTAAGCTGCTGCTGCTGCTGGATGATTGTAACACTGCTCGACAAAGGTAACGATTAATCGAAATTTATAGAAAAAAAAAAATGCTGCAAGTTATATAATTATAGTTTGTTCAATGGCCAATCGAAATCGAGAAACGAAAATGTACCATTTTTACATATGGCATCTTTTCTTTCGGCTCTTCTTATTGAATCATCCCAACTGTGTAACTGAATAAATTCTCTCAGATTGTGTCACCTCACACGTGATATACTTTATCAGGCATATGAGTCATAGCAAACTATGGAAAACATTTAATAGGTCTCTGTCGTATCCTGTCGAACGTAACGTACATGCATTTACGGCTATCGGCGAACAATGAAGGTCGACGTGGTTTATTGTTTACGTATCCGAGGGAACGTGTTCGCGACTCAGAATATTAACACCAGATCCTTGCGCGTCAATATTAACAAGTCACCTCATCCGTCCGCCGCTCAGTGAGTGCCGTAACTTTCGATCCAATTGCGCTGGATAGAGCACTGAAGCCCTTTTGCAATATCGATTTCATCGGTGACGCGGCATTTTGCACGTTCACTTCGCTGATAACCAATACAATTGAAACGGCAGCGCTACTGAAGAATCGTCGGCCGATGCGAACGACCTGCCCGATAAACGGCTGCCAACAATCAATTTCTTAAAGAAATCCTTCAAAGTTTATCAAGTAAACAATTGATGATTTTTCGAGTGAGATTTTTTTAACAAAGCTGACCATCGAACCAATAGAAACACTGTATGACGCTCGATCCTCGGGCAAACATGCACAAGCTTGTTCGCGCTGGTAGAAATCGATGGAAAACGTCGGCCGATGAACGATCGTTTTATAAGTATGCACGACAATGGGCCTGAAGACGCCACTACCATAAGGGATGTATAAATTATTAGGTGATTAATGCTAGGACCGTCGCTTTGTGTGTTTGGAACAATATTCGCCTTACCGCTAAGCATTTAATTAAAAACGAAAAAAAAAAAGCTTCTGCTAATAGCAGAACGGATGGCCTTCCCTGAACAACGGCTGCTACTTTTTATGATACAGCTTCGTATCGACAACTGTCATCTTCAGTTCAAAGTTAAATCACTTTATAGAAAATGATTTAGACAAATGAAAATTGAACTTTCAGCTCGTTGGGACAGTCACAAGGGAGTAGGATGGCTCTGTAGCGGTTTCGGTTTGTGTCTGAGTATAATTCGATGCTAGACAATACTAAGCCTTAAACTAAGGTTGCTTGTAATTATATATAAACCTACGCTACTCATTCGCAGCTGATCGTGACAATGGGCTTCAAGACGCTACCAGCATAAGGGAAGTATAAATGCCTCCGTTGCAGTGCGAAGATCACGATATCGTTAACGAGCAACGAGTGTCGATCTAATCGTGGTTGCCTGTATGAAAGCTGTTGCAATTTTAGCTTCTTCTGTTTTTTCAATGTTCCTTTCAGTCAAAGGAATTGCCATCACTGCAATATCTGAAAGTGGAAACTCAATGGGTACACGTTGATTGGGGCGCCCAGAGATAAAACGTGATTGTATGAAAAAATCTAGCTCTGGCGAAAACATTTACAAATAATAAACAGCGACGAGGCTTGGTCACTCAGCCGCTCAGATTCAAACAGTCCGCCTTAGAGAGCGTAAAACTCATACTTAGAATCACGCAAAAGTATCGCAAAAGAAGTTGACAAATTGTCGATAATTAGAAGAGAAAACTATAATTGGTTTTATTTAGGCGTCGATTAACTGATGAAAATGAAACCTCGTGGTGATACTTATGGGGCTGATACAAGCGAATCTGGCGAACTTTGAAACTTTTGAATGACGCGCCGGTAGCAAAGGACGTTTGGCTGAAAAATACTCCATACTTTTAGACACTTTGGAGTGAAAACTGGTTAAGTTTATTTTAGGGGAAAAAATGTTCAGGAGGAGACCCATCCTCTAGTTACAAAGGTAGATGTTCAGTGGTGAAGTTTTTGTTCCTCCAAGGCCACAACACTGTGAAAAGACTAGCACAAAGACACTGGGCACACGAAAGCACAATACGTGAGTGACACAGTCATTTCAGGAACAGAGAGTAAAGTGTTGACAACCAGCGAAAGCGTGATCAGATGCCAGAAACTAAAGGCCAAGAGCGCATTGCGGTAAGCGAGAAGGCCTTCCACAAAATCAGATCTTTGTCGACCGAAACTGGCGTTCATATATATTTTTCTCATATATAAAGTGATATTCCAAATGCTAAAAATACGGAGACTTAGTAAAAAGCGGGTCGCCCGTGAATTCACCTAGGGCTAGTTTGAAATGCGTGTGGTTTACAGAGTTTTAATCCACAAATAATTTGCCTGAGTACGCTAACCATAGATATGGCTTGGTTCAATTTCTACCACCAGCCGGAGAAGCACCAGGGGAGAGAATGGCGTCGTACTTAAGTGAAATCGACTTCGACCGCAGTGTCGACTGAGGTGATAATAGTACTTGAAATGAGCATCAGGAGGATTCGGTACTATAAAACTCGCCGGAAAAACCAATGCCGCCCGCCATTTTGAGTTCTTTACGTGAGTCATGAACTTTCGCCACGGCGTTCGGAAGCATGTAATTGTTACTCGGATGACAGCGTCAAACCTCATAGCCATGCCTTCAATTCAGGTGAGTGAGAAGACATCCAACATAGGCTTCAACCAGCTTACTCCTTCGATCTAGGGCGGTGTGATTCCGAAGCTTTCTATCCCTAAAAAGGGCAATTGGTAAGCATATCTTACTATCGATTTACGTCAAGAGGCCATAGATAACGGAATTATATACGAGAACGCAAATACCAGGTATATATACCTGTAGTAGGTAGTAGGTATACCAGTGAGTAGGTTATCCACGTTGTGCAGGTCTCAAGCAGGGCGATAAAACACGTGGTTTTTAATCGCAGCCATTTTTGGTTGGAGTGATCCTCAGTAGGCTACCATTGTCGAGTAGAATTTTTAAGCCTACTACTCGTGCGGTTATCGGTATTTTTTCCTGGGCTAAGCTCGCTCAGGACCCACGTTTTGGAATATAGCAGTGCGTAAAGTAAAAGGGTCATCAATTAAAGTCAGTTCACAAACGTTCTTAGGGCGTCTCATATCTAACATCCGCGACGTACTTAGGTAAAATGATTCTGCAGAAATGTATATTCTAGAGAATTAGATTATTTCTCGATTATTTTCTAGAAATTGTCTAGGGCAAACTTTCCTTTTCAATTGGTTTTTTAAAGATCGATTGTCAATAACTCTTTAGGTTTTGTTAGCATATGGCGCTAACAAAACCTAAAGAGTTTACTATTCAGATAGGCGTTTAATTAACGTCATAAAGAAAAATTGTATTATTTACGTAAATTTGTTAATCGTATTATCTACTTAGTCCTAATACTATGTATTTTTAAGTTGTGAGGATATTAATAGGCACGTGTCTACCCGAATAGATATTAAATTTAAACAATGAAAGTTAGCGGCCTCTTTTTTTAGTTCAAATTCGCTACTATGCGACCTATATGCATTCGAGCCATGAGATTAGGACCGACAGGGACACTTCGTTTTCCCCCTGATATTTTAATCGACGAAAGTGCAAAGCATTTAGGCTCTATCAGGTAGCGTAAATATCGAAGAGTGTCTCAGTGTATCCCCTGAGAACGCATTACCATTCTTTCCTGTATCTGTAAAAGTTCTTAGTCTTCATACCGGTGTTGACCTAAATCCTTTCCAGTGCATTGTGTGTGCACCGCTATAATCCGAGTGTGGCATGGACTTTATTCGCTAGACTCGTATCCAAAAGCTACCAGCCACTAGTAATAAAGTAAATATAGTTGTAATAGTACCATTTGTCCACATATGAAGCCTTCATACTTCATACAACATCACCGAAGATAGATGCCATCGAGGATCCATATCGGCGGAAGTTCAGGTAGTCCGGCCCGCCCTCGCTTCGACAAACAACTGATCGTTTTCTATCGATTCATATGCAGTCGCTCGAACGGCTCGTGACTGTTAAATTAAGACTTGTGCTTTAGTCAGCCAGGAACTGCACCTGTTGAGCTGGAGGAATCCATGCCTGATAGAAGATTAGATAGAGAAAAAACTTTTTGCCCGAAGGCATGACAAAATGCCATTCACAAGTTAAAATTCTCCTTTTGTAAACTCGATGTTATGCTGTCGCAGTCGCCACACCTGAATCAATTTTTAGACAAGACTCTGTTATATCCTAGTCATTGGAGTTTTCACTATTTGCTCGCCATTTAATTAAATGTTGTCAATCTTTCTAATCCTTATAAATGCATATATTACGAACAACGGTCCTTCAACAAAACATGTCCTATGAAAGTATCGGACTTACTTCCACGAATTTGGAAAAAGAATCAGACTAATGCCACACTTGGCAAATCCTTAACAACAGGGAACTCCCAAAATCTATTGGCAATCTAAAACATCGATTTATGAATAATCTATACATATTAAACCCTAACTCGAAGAGATTCAAAGCAGGTGCCTAATGCAGACGAGAAACATTTCCCTTCTACAAAAAAAGAAGCGATTTCATAATAGCTTACCAGCACCTGTATGCATTGTCAATGTGTAATGCTATAAGATCTGTCGTATCTTATGTAAAATAATCCTATACCATAGCGACATTGTATCGGTGGTTTTCGTTCATGCTAGAGGTACGGGCGAAAAGAAGAGGGTCAACAATCTCTAGCCGCATAGATACTACGTGAGTCAATGCAACTGCCGGTTGTTGACAAAGTATTGTGCTGTAAAATGTTCTACGACAAAAAGCTTGACATGCAGAGCCAACAAAGTCAGTCAATGTAAACGAGCTCTGCAGAGCTTCACGGGCGTGTCGCGGAAAATTTGCTACGCTAGGCGTAGTTATGTCCATATTTTGATAGAACGGATCCAAAGGTGGAGGAATAAGTCATTACGCAACGCAAAGTGACCCTGAAAGCAGTGATATTTTTGGCGAGAATTTCGTGACAAAGCTGGCACACGACGTGCTGAGTAACGAGACTCCCGTAACCGATTTGAGGGGAACACTGTCAGAGAAAGAATCTACACTGGGATAGGGAGGTTGATACTGGTAAGATACATTTCTTCGTTAAATAGGCCAATACTTTCGGGAAGGGTAATTGGAGCTAAAGTCCACTATTATTTTAAGCTTAAACCTCTTAGCGCCAATACTCTCAGCTAAAAACCTAACCCCTAGTAGTTGGAAGCCCAGCAGCTACATCCGATCAAGATGTTTATGACGGTCTAAGACACTCTGTAAGATCTGCAAAATAAATTAGCAGCTCACGATAGCCCTAATCGAAGTTCAAATTAAAGTCATTAAAAAAAAAAAAAAAAAAAAAAAACACTGGGAAATCGCTAAAAGAAAACATCTCGAAGAATTGCGGAAGTTTAATTCGCGATCAACGGACGCACATACAGCAATGTCAAAATATTTTCTTTACTCGAAATCGTTTTGTCAAATGTATCAGACAAGTACGGCAAAGCCGGAAATCGCTGAGTTGAGCCCCGTTGTGTCACAGAGCATATTGTAGGAGCGCTGCGATTAGTTGATCCCTGTACGCCTCACTTAAATTAAAATTTTTCGGACAAGATCACGAACATCATGATTAAGGCAATTGTAAGGACAAGACCTAGTCATCGCATCAATTTGGCTTTTACTGTCCATGGTCCACAAGGTGTGTGCGAGCGAACTGACGTAAGCTAGTATCGGTAAGGAAATGTGAAATAAAGGTAACGAATGGTATTCTGTTTTGCAAGAGTCTTCTCGTCATAAATAACGTCGAAAACCTCGAATGAGATTTAACAAAAATCGGAATTTTTAGTACGAGCTTACTCAAAAGGGGCAGTGACGAAAATAGTCACAAAGTCTCACCAGTTAAAGATGCTGAAATCAGCAGATCTGACTCTACACGTATTCAGTGAAAGCGCTGCAAACAGAGTCAGGTGTGAATTCATTACTTGCATATTTTTGCCCCTCGAACGTCAATCAATTGGTTAGCTGCGCAGAAAGTCTAGACGGCTAAACATGTAGATAAATAGAAACGGGTGCTTTGCAAAGTGTAACACAGGAATCGATTCCTGGTATGATTTCCCATTATCTTCAAGCTACGGAAATGGACATCGAGGGCAAAAAAAAACAGAGAAATCGATTTTGGCCGTAACTAGCCTGTAGGAAGTCAATATCAGTGCAAGGCCGGAACGCCGGTGGAAGATCGCTAGGGCTTCTAGATCCAGCGACGAAACTTTCAATCAGTGATGCTTTGTTGAAGTGCTCGTAAAAATGGCCCATAAAAAAAGAAATTGCTATTTGTTTTCATAAAGCTTTCCATTATATTCTCTAATCGAAATTATGTGCACTGAAGTAGCTGAATAGGAGACTCGGAACAATGTTAAAATCTAGCATCTTGCACAAATTAGCAGAGTGTATGTATTATTTCGAAATAAACAAGACATGTGCTATTCAGTACCGAATAATTGTGTGTCTGATATTGTGTCACACTGTGTGTGTGTGTGTGTGAAAAAACGTTAATATGAAATTTTGTCTATACTAAGAATGCCTTCGCTATGAAAGTAGAGGTTTTTGTCAGGAAGCGTTAAATACGCATGCTGCTATGTCTATATGACGACACCCTTAATGGACAGAACTGTCCAATGGAAGCTAAGGCGAACATGAGTTTGAAAATGTAGTAGAGAGTACGGGAGTGGACGAAAACGACCCAGTGTTTAAAAGCCAATCTAATAATAGCCCTATTTATTGAAAGACGTCCTGTCTGCCGAGAGCAAAGGCAATATCAAAGTGCTTTAGATCGATGTCAGCGTTGGGATCCTAGGTAGAAATAACACGTGCTTTTTCCAAAAGACAGTATTTAAACCAAAATAATGTTAAGCTGACTGCTCATTAATGGGCAACCTGAGAAATGATATGAAGATCCAGGTCTTCATAGCATGTGGACACAACAAGGGAGCAGGTTAGCGTTAACTATCCAAGATACTATAGTTATATTTATCAACAATACGGGTAGTTTTCGACGCGAGACGGCTCTTGGCCTTGTCGTCGGTATCGAGTAACGAACTGATGCTCATTGAACACATTTGAATTGTCCAATATCCGTTTTATAAATCCATAGCCAGTTTGTATAGGACAAATTACTGCTTACTAGGGTGGCATTAATTTGGTGAATATTGCGCAACCTCAGCAACAGCGAAAAATTCTCGTTTGCCATTCGATGTTTCTTAAGATCACGTCCTTTCTTTTTGCTGCTGCGCGATTTTCGGGCGATAATAAAAACGAATGTATACGCTACTGTAAAGTGCTACTTTTGATCAAAAATGTCGTAAGCACCGCGCGGTGTTCCCATCATACACGTACACACATACGTGGCTTACGTCTCCACCAGCGGTACGTACGATCTATGAAAGCTGGTATAATTGTAGTACGGTAACTGGCCGCGGGTGCCACGCGTACAACAGACAGCCCCCTTCTGTCAAGGTCCGGGTCTGCTCAGTTTAATACTTAATTTCGGTCTCAAAGGTGATGATTCGACGATCCGACAGTCTACGATTGCCGCAGTTTCTCTGTTGCTGCTGCTAATATGTTCCCTGTGAATGATGCTA